GTACTTGTTGAGTGCCGTGGCAGCGCCAAGTGTGCGAAAAGCAGAGAGTGCCCGCCAAGTGTGCGAAAAGCAGAGAGTGCCTTGTAGATAGTGCCGTGATCGCTCCACCTCTATTTTATTACGTTGAGATAGCTGTTTTCAGTACTTGTTGAGTGCCGTGGCAGCGCCAAGTGTGCGAAAAGCAGAGAGTGCCTTGTAGATAGTGCCGTGATCGCTCCACCTCTATTTTATTACGTTGAGATAGCTGTTTTCAGTACTTGTTGAGTGCCGTGGCAGCGCCAAGTGTGCGAAAAGCAGAGAGTGCCTTGTAGATAGTGCCGTGATCGCTCCACCTCTATTACGCTATTATTACGTTGAGATAGCTGTTTTCAGTACTTGTTGAGTGCCGTGGCAGCACCATCTACCTTTCTAAAGATTAGCAATTACCATGTTCGGCATATAGTGCTGTAGGAAAGCTCTGATCGATGCTTATTGCCGCTGAGTGTGTCAGTAGGGCTGTGGTCGGTGTATGATTGCAGGATTTTGTGGCCACTTTCTTTTCCTGCCGAAGGGACCATGTCGTCTTTGTTTGGTCTAAAGATTGCCACGCCCATAGAATTCCTGTGAGAAGGGGCGGGATTGACCAAACCCTGAAGAAAAATCCTTATTCTTTATTACTTATGTCTTTATATTCCCCACAAAACCTTGTTCACGAGTGTGCTAAGTTCTTGTGTCATTTTAGTACCACCTGAAATCGTCCTCAACCAAGGTCACGATACATCATTGGATCTTTGGGCGTTGGGCATCTTTTTGTATGAGTTGCTATCTGCAAAGTGAGTAATTTTTCATTTTGCTCGCCAGTTAAATGTTAACCGCATAGGCTGATGTTATTGATTTAGACCACCATTCGCAAGTTCTGATCCATTGGTCATTTACAACGCTATTTTGAAAGGATTCGGAAGATGGGCATGGCCCAGGTGACATTTTATCTATTCGGGCATTGAGTCCAACCACTTGCGGCAGTAATTTGCAGTCTTTCAGATATTTCTCGAAGGATGCCATCAATCTGATATTGTCGCTTTGTAAGCAAGATCCAGGCTTACGTCTGGGCTATGGCCATCTCGACGACGTTCGTAAGCACCCGTGGTTTGACGGGTTCGACTTTGTCGAATTCCGTGCGCGTAAGATGAAACCGCCTGTAGTGCCGGTGGTGAGTGCTTTCTACCATAAATGAAGCTTATTTAGATTAACTGATACTCAGTAAATCTCTCAAAACTAAATCCTTTTGAATGTGCGATGCACTCATTTCCATTCTCAATATTTAAGGGATAAATGTGCTTATAATGATAACCTAACCATGGCCACCAGCTCTACGCTTTCATAGGACTTTGCCACCACTCATCTTGCGCTTCATTCAAGATCAGCCATTCAGAAAAGCATTTTATTCGTTTACACATTCTGTGTATCTCTAGTTTCCAAACCTTTGGTTCCTGCGAAAAAATGCCGTTGATCCTCCATTTTCCTATTAAAGGGCCGGTTATGGCTATGTAATATAGTTGGTGCCTGTGGGAGGTGTTAAGATTGCTACTCAGCACGTGTTGTAGAGAATGCCGTGACCACACCTGTCGTAGCGGTAGCGGTTGCCGTGTTCGGCATGTGACGCGTGGGGTGCCGTGATCGCTGCCCTTCCTGCAATGGAGATCGCCGTTGTCCTGATGGAAAAGGCCCTGATTGAGGCGCAGTGCGCGAAACGCCAATACCACACGCTTGCTCATCCAGACTGCGGGAATATCATAAAAAAACATACGGCGATGTAATAATTCTCTTCGAGGTCCTCAACAGAGTAATCTATAACGTAATCGGTTTGTGGAGTGTGGCATTCTTAATAATTCACGTGATTCCTTTTAGGTAAAATCGGATGTGGATACGAGTAATTTTGACACCTTTCCTTCAATTGACTCATTTGCAACGGGTAATGACGAGTCTGGCTGGGATTTTGATTTCTGAATCGAGCTTGAACATATTTCTATCACTTCATTGTACAGATCTGTAATATATTGTCTACGAAGTTGTTGTTTGTGCCATACTGTATATATTTATAGCATTAAGTTCCTACTATTGTGATGTTGAAGACGTGCATTGTAGACATCTAGCTGTGTCGTGCTTGCAAGGGAATAAAGATGTCCCTAATCAAACTCCCCTGTTACCGATCACATCCCATACACGGGGTTCTCCAGATTCTTCGTGCTTATACTCGGTGATTCGTGGAATTTCTCTGAATATGTGAAATCTGAGTTGGAAGTTGTATTCATACCGCTTATTAGGGTAATGACCGATGCAGGTTGAACCACGCTCTGCTTGATTTGCTGTTATTTGGTGACGGATCTTTTTTCATATCCGAGTTGTCGTTGAATGGTAGAAACCTTAGGAAAAGACATTTGTTTGGAAGAGCGTTCTCTGGTGGGAATTTTCTGAATTTCATGGACAGCAGCCGGCGCAGTCCTCCGTCAGTTGAAAGTTCATTCGAAAGTTCATTCATCAAGTGTTCAATTCAACGGAACAGATCTGAAGATATTCAGGATTCAACTATGGAGTTGGTGTGGTAGATTGCTGTCAGCTCAAAGTAAGCTCGAAGGATCTACACGCAGATTTCGTCAGAATCCCTTGAAATCCTTATTTCTGCGGAAGAGGTGGTTCCAGGGCACGCCATTGCGTTGTGATCATTTCCTAAAAAATACGACCCCCCCCCCTCCAAGTAAGGGTCTTGATACGACCCCCCCCTGTCACGAGGGTAGAAACGAAAAGAAGAGCAAGGATGAAGAAATTGACAATAAAGAGAACTAGGCATTATTGAACTATTCCTACCCCAAGAACTCAAAAAAATTTTTGCTTAAACTTTGTCTATCGATGTTATTCGATGTCCTGATCACGAGTGTGACATCATT